CAACCAGGTGTCTCTCGTATAATGACTGGCGTGCTCGGAGCTCTATGACTTCATCTCGAGTTGCAGCTAGCTCTCGCTGCAACGTTTCATTGTCTCTCAAAGCTCTCCCATGAAAAATTTCAAGGCGATGAACGCGATCCGTGCTGGCGCTTGAATCAGCTTCGAGTTCCACAGTTCACTAAAGGGTTTCCACACCCAGCTCAACATTGTGAGCCACTAGGCGTATCAGAATTGGAAGGTCCCTGTCTGCAGGACCTCCTTCGTCCTAATTGTAGAAGTTGCGGTGTCCGTTGTATGGGAGGGGTTGGCCTTGCTCGTGGCTCCACCTATTCAAACTCCCAACCCACATAGGCGTTGGACCTTGGAACTCAGGTTGGTGGTTAGGATTTGGTATTGGGGCCACTTGAGGTAGGTTTTCGACTTCAGGTTCTGAGTCAGCCTCTTCGGGAATTTGTTCTGTGAGGTCATCGTCCAAAGAAATTTCATGATTTTCTTCTGGCTGTTCCTCGAGCCATCCATTATTTCCTTGGTTGGGAAAGTACGGGTCGCCAGGAAGATTGAATCCAGCCATGCTATCTACGCGAGAATAGAGGTGAGAGGGATAGTTAATAAACGTCGAGTATAACAATATTCCTATAGTATTATAATTGTATGCTCGATACTTTGTTGTTATCTTATAGTAATTAAAATACTCCTATAGTATTTTTAATGTTGTATGTTCTGTTCTATCGATCTCTTGATGTATATGGTTTGGTAAGTTTTAGGCTTGCTGCAACATCACAGTCACTCCCAGACACATGTTGGTCATGTCTCAAATAAATATAGTTGATTAGGCTATATTGATCCCAGACATGATTACATAACTATCCAGGTTTAACCGTAGCGTTCAACATCCAAATAATTTTGTTTTGTTCTACTTATGATGTTGTTTCTGGAACTTACGAAAACTTGTATACTCTTTATAAAATACTTGTATTTTAGAAGTATACTTTTAGTTCAGAGCACTTCGGCCCCTTAGTGTTTATAGTTGTATACCATGTAAGGTTCGGTATACTTAGTTCACTATAAACAATAGCTCTATTACCAATCTGTCACACCCCCAAACCGGAACGGCGGAAACGTTCGGGGGCGGATGACTTCATGTATAGTATCACAACAATTGTATCATAGTAATCAAAGTAAACACAACCATTACATTAAATATATATAATAAGTGTTTACATTAGTTTGCTTCGTATTCTTATACATCCAAAAGTATAATAAAAGTAAAAGACGTGACTCTAGGTGCTCCGTCTTCTCAAAAGTCTGTCGAGGTACCTGTCTAATGATTTCCTGAGAATACAAGCAGTTTTGAAAAGAGTATCAGCATAAAGCTGGTGAGTTCATAAACATCTTTTGTAATAAAAACATGTTAATGAATCAGTGAAATTGTTTTGTCTGTTTCCAAGAAAATCCAATATTTTCTTTAGTAAAAGTGAGGTAGTATTAGTAAAAATGTTTGTATGATCGGATCACTACTAGGTGTATTGTATGATAAATTTTGTATGAAAAATCTTTGTATTGAATGTTCTATTTGAAAACCCTGGTTATTACCAGTATGTATTGTAGTTTTAGTTCTCATAAAGAAACCATGTATTTGTCCATACTTATGTAAAATAATCATTGTTCATGTATAGTATATTACTACATACGTAAATCATTGTTATCTATTTGCGAGTTTTATGACCATACATTAACTTGATAAGGCGCGAATCAGGCATCAATATCCTTTATGACTTTGTCACCCATAGACCTGTCGGTCCTACTGTAGCTAGCAGCAAGGTGTGGGATAGTCAGTCCCATATAGATCTATACACAAAAATCACGCTCTCCTTCGAGGAGACTCTGGTTCATAAGGGGTAGTCTTCCACTAGTACATGTAATTGTACCCAAAGACGTGTTTCTCAAGCTAGATTTACGATATTACAAGTAATAATACGAGAAAACCTTTTATTAAATATTATTCATAGAAGATGCGTGTATGTATTTGTATAACCATGTATTGAATTCCCAAACTATATCTACTATAGTTTGTGTGTTTGTATATGTATAACCTTGTATGAATTCCCAAACTATATCTACTATAGTTTGTGTGTTTGTATATGTATAACCTTGTATGAATTCCCAAACTATACCTATTATAGTTTGTGTGTTTGTATATGTATAACTTTGTTTTGGTCTAAAAACTGTGCGGTTAACTTGTAAGTTGCAAACGTCCCTTATGCTCAGCATAATACAGAAGGGATAAAATATCTAAATATTTTGTAAAACTGTAGAAACTATATGTTTGTATTGATTGCATCCGTTTTAAGTTTATTGAAATCCTTTTGTATAACTTTTATAAAATAATTTAAGTTTGGCTTGTATTCCCCCCCCCCCTGAAAACATTAAAAACTCGGAAAAATGTAGAGGTATGAACTCACCTCGAGTGAGTGGTTAGTATGAAAGATCGATATGAGATGCCGAATGTCAATTGAAGCCTCGAACACAATTGGATCCTATTTAACATGTAATAACACATATAGGAGTCAAATTAGGGTATTTCACTACTAGACATGATAGGAAACCACTTTAGGGACTTGGAAACACTTGATCTAAGTGTCAAAACCATATGTGATTGAGTGAGGGAGGTGTACTGCCACCCTAAGGGTATGTACGGCCATGGGTGTGTGGCCCATGAGTGTACGGTCGTACACTCATGAAGAGGTGTGCTTTTGAGGTGTTTCCACGGTTCTAACTAGCACCCAAGAAGTGTTCTACGTCCCAAGCTTAGTTGTAATGCAAGTTTGAGGCCTAAAATGATCATCAAAGTGGGTTCATGGCCCTAAGAGGTGTGTGCGGCCGTACAAGGGGTGTGCGGCCCTAAACCCTTCATGTTCATGCGAAATTTATCGACTTTAAGGTGAATCAAGGCTAGGACCATGTCCAACTAGAAGATAGGGGTCGAACTCTCACTTTGGAGGGCCTTTAAGGTGTGTACGGCCAACCTTATGAAGGTGTGCAGCCGTACTCCTTCAAAGGATGAAGAACATGATGAAACTTGAAGAGTCAAAGCTTAAATCAAGAGGTCTTTCAAGTATAACAAGCTAAATGATGGAATACTTACGTTTTCTGAACCCTTGGAGGGTTCACGGTTGAAGAAACTTAAGAGAGAATGGAGTGGTGTGCAACCAAGGGAAGAAAGGAATGAAGGAAGTGAGGTCTACTCATATATATATAGGGGTGGGTGACCCACCACCTTGGGTGTGCAGCCATGAGGGGGTGTACGGCCGTACACCCATGTGTACGGCCGTATACTCCTCCTAAAGGAGTGTATGACCCGAAATGCTACATTACGACTTTGATAACTCATCCGTAATCTCAACCTTGGTTGTACTCAAGCTTAGAACACTTAAACGAACCCTTAAACAGTGCTAAAAGATAACAGAAACGAGTTTAAAATTGATTGAATTGAATAGTTGAACAAGATAGAAATTCCGGGTTGTCACAAGAGGTAGCAGGGAATTCTTATTGCAGCTGATGGCGGAGAGTGGGTTGGTGATTACCCTAGGGCAATCCTAGGATGAGATTAGCGGGGAGAGCAGTAGTAGTGAAAGGGATTATAAAGACTTCATATGAAAATAGTATATATCATGAGAATCTTCATATATCATGTATTTACAATGTGTCACGGAATTCTATTATAAGGGTTAAATTCTTCCCCATGAAAAGGTGAAAGCCTATTAAAGAGGACAACCTCATTTAATCAAACCATTTCGTACTTGTGTAATTTTCTTCCATGAAAGCATTCTCCACCAGGAATATAGTAATATTCTTTTCTATTCAACTCCTTTTGTTTTTATACTTTGCTTTATTTTACGAAAATGGTCGACATTAGGATTAGGTAACTTCAGAACCAAGTGTTCCATGGTAAGCATGTAAAAACATCTTACATTTGCCCCATACATTGCTCGGTTTGAGCTAGCCAAAGATTGTATAACAATTAAAACAGTATTACATACATTAACGTAACAAAAAAAATGCAAATCTACAATAATTTTCCTTTTGAAGTTTATTTAATTGCTTGTTTAAAGAAGGTAGATCATAAGACAACTTAGTGCAAAATTAACTATGAAACTCGAGATTTAAAAAATGAAACATATTGTTTATTTATGGACTTATTTTTAATAAAAAAATCTCCACTGTTTGTTGACTAGGCTGGAAATGAGTGAAGGGCCACTTTTGTTGAAAACCAAGTATACTCGTAGAAAATAAATAGATCACACATAAGAAATTTAAGAAAATGAAGATCTAGAAGATGAAATGACATAAAAATCAAGAACCAGGATGTAGTAACAATATGAAAATGAGAAGATGGCATAACAAATTAAGAATCAAAATATTAACATGCATCAATAATATTAATGCGATTTAAAGAAATACAGAAATCTAAATGAACGCATACACTTTTATGAGAAAGTCTATCCCAACTTTTCTTGTTAAAAGCTTTCCACAAGATGCTTTAAAAACATCAAACATACGTTTCTGAAATCCATCAAGCACAAGCTTTTGAAATCCAGCAAACACAATTTATTAACATAAGATACTAAAAACTATCAGAAGCTATCTTTATGGCAGAGAGAACAAGCAATGCCATATCATCCAAACTGCTTCAACAGCCTCAAACTTTCCACTTGCTCCTAGAACCGAAGGGTCTCGCTTAATCAACTGAGAAATCAAAATGGGAAGTCAGTGAACAGTCAACATTATATATACCTTGGTTTTAAAAAGCGTAATGCGCCCTAAAGCGCAAAAGCCTTTGCGGGCCGATGCGCTAAGCGCTAAGCGAAAGCGCTCCCTAGAGCACATGATGCGCCAAGAATTTAAAACAAATATAAAAAAATATGTAAATACTTAAAATATCCAAAAATCATAGTTTCATAGTAGTATCATATTAGATCCTAAATACTAATAAGTTATAACTAGAGATCGTCTAAACTATCATTATCTTCGTCGTCAACTTGGACGACACCATCTCCTCCTCCATCATCACTATAGACACCGATATCTTCTTCCACATCTTCATCTACCAAATGTCTATGAGATGGTTGAACGGTTGTTTTTCCCTTATTAACGCCCGATGTTACGGTTCCATCATTTTGTACTCTTGATGCTCTAGTTCGATAACTAGGCTCATAAGCACCAGAGTCATGAGCTACATCTCTCCAAGTTAAATCTTCACCAACAAATACCGCCTCATCATCACTCTCATCTTCCATTCTTCCCATCAACCACTCGTTGCTTTCATCAATCTCTTGTAGGATAAGGTGATCGTTCTCTTTGTCTTTTGCCCGTCGCTCCAAGGACCGATTGAATTTAACAAATACCATGTCATTCAATCTCTCTTGTGCCAATCTATTTCGTTTCTTTGTATGAAGCTGCAAGTAAGAGAATCAAAGAAAGTGAAAGTCCCCAAATCTGTTTGTGTAGCAATCAGATCCGTTTGATGGTGCGGAATCCCAATCAAACGGATGATTTCAGATCTAATAGAATAGAGGGAGAAGAAGAAGATGAATCTATGATGTATTCAAGATTGGAATGATGAACAATACACAAGATTCACACACACTCTTCTCTCTTGTTTCTCTCACACCTTAGAATACACACACTTAAGCTCCTTGGCTCTTGCCCTCACATGCACTCCTCACCCTATATATATATATATAATATATATATATATATATATATATATATATATATATATATATATATATATATATATATATATATATGGACCTAAGGCCAAGCCCAAAATACAAATAATCCAATGCTAGACCGAAAACACATGGGTTTTCGGTCCAAGCTACAATTAATCCTATACTATTTTCGGCCCAAATAATAAAAACAATAAATGTTTAGAAAAGCAAAGTATAAACCATATTTTTGACCCAACAGAAAGTAAGAACACAAAGCATAATTTCTATAAAAAAAACAGATTTTTCAGAAATAATAAACAAATTCCAGCAAAAAAAAACAGATCTTCTGAAAAGAATAAAAAAAAAACAGTTTTTCTGTAAAACAATATTTTTTCTGCAAAAAAACTTTTTTTTTCCAGCATTTTCCACTAATAATAAACATATTCCAGCAAAAAAAACAGTTTTTCTGAAAAAAAAAAAACAGTTTTTGTGTAAAAAACTTTTTTTTATATAAAAAACTTTTTCCTGTAAAAAAACAGATTAATTTGTAAAAATTAAAAAACATGTAAAAAAAGACTTACATGTTGAAAAACACTCCAATTTCTTTCACAACTTGTAGCACTACAAGTGAGACTAAGAACCTTTATAGCAAATTTTTTTAGATTAGGAGTTGAAGATCCATATGCTCCCCGCCAATCAGCTATAAAAAACAAAAACAAAAACATAAAGTCAGATTATAAATTAGAATTTAGAAGAAAAAAATAAGTTGGAAATTTGGAATTTACCTGGTGATTTTGTCTCCCTATGTCTAACAGCCATAGGATTACCAAAGAGTCCTTGTGCATTCCGATATTTGTCCAACTCTTCCGAAATCTTGTCTTGAACTTGTTGCTCGGGAACAAGCCTCATAATGTAATCATACAAACCTTTTTCCACTTCTTCACAAGCTACCCCACTAACATCTTTATAAAAGATTCCCGGGTTCAAGAAGTGTCCCGCCGCATGCAAAGGTCTATGTAATTGACATTCCCACCTACGATCTATAATTTCAAAAGTTGTCTGGTAGTCATCCAGTCTGGAAAAGCTATCACGAATGGCCTCCTTAGCCCTATCCATGGCCTCATAAATGAAGCCCATGGCCGGATATTTTTCTCCATCAACAATCCTAAGAACTGTAACTAGGGGACCCGTCAACTTAAGAGCATAATGCACATTTCTCCAAAACATGTCTTGCATAAAGTAGCTTTTAACTTTTATCCCCCTCCCGTCTGAAGACCATTTAAAAGCTTCCCACTCTTTAGAAACCACCATATTCCTCAAATTGGCTCTCTGTTTGTGGATTTGGGCAAGAGTGATGAAAGATGTTGCAAATCTTGTGATAGTCGGCCTATGTAAGTATCTTTGGTTTGTGAACTTTCTCATCATGTTCACAAGAGGCACATGGCTATATATATATACCCAATTGCTAAAATTGACTTTTTTAATGCACTTTTCACCTTTAGAACTTGTTTGTCAATATCTTCCAACATCAAATCTAGGCAATGTGCGGCACATGGTGTCCAATATAGATTTGGTCTTTTAGCTTCCAAAGAGTAAATAATAGTTGCAATTGAAGTGCATTGCAAGAATACAAATAAATGAAGGCCAAATGTATACTGGGTGAAGGTAATGAGTCTGTTACACTTCTTATTAGGCTTACGTTTCGTTCTGTCAGTTGTGGCTTAAGTAGAGTAGTGAGGGAAATAAGGTCTTTTTACTGTTAGATCAGTTAGGTAGGCTTAGTTGAGCGGTTAGTGTTAGTAGTTGGTATCTTTGGTCATAACAGAATATAAGTGAATTCGGGAAGAGTTCCTAGCCTCTTGAATGCTGGTAAGCTTAAGTATGCTCCATCATCAAAACTTTAAGTATGCTCCATGATCAAAACTTTAAACTATAGATAATGTCCATTTGCAGACCTCATATATTACAAAAGAAAATGAAAGCATCCCATGAGTAAACATGAAGATTGAGCTATGTGGCCAAGATCAACACATTTTTTAGGGATGTACAAGAATCATTATAAACATTAATAAGAATTCAGAATCCATATATAATTCCACAGTTTGTATTATATGATAAACAAAATGAACGAACCTTACAACTCTTCTTGCTATTACTCTCTTGTGTATTTCTCTTTGGCCTCCCTTTAACATTGGGAGATACAAGACTCTCCATATAGATAGGGGCACAAATATACTCCCTAGTCTTGTAGAACAGCATATCACGACACAAAGTTCTGTTGTTAGGAATGTAATGTTTCTGCTCTTTCAAGCATTGTAAAGCTAAGTTCATCTCACACTCCTTTTTAAACATTCCCCAAGATAGCTTTCCATTGTACTTCTTCAGCATCCATAAGTTATCATTAAACCCATCACAAGGAAATACGCATAAACAATCTTCCATAATACCTAAATTCATATTTGGGCAGCTAGCAACACCAGATTCATATCGCTCATCATCAGGTTGGGGAATTTTGATAAATTTTTCTTCAGATACCCGAAACGAAGTAATGAATCTCTTCTTACTTGGAGATGAAGAATCTTTCATAATCCAATGAAGTGCCCCATTTCATAAGATACCAATCCTACAAAGAAACGAATACTTTACATCTCCAATTAGTTTCCAAACATTTGATTTCAAACATAACACTTGTAAACATGTCCAACCAACATGTTTACGGAACCCTAATACAACCTTGTAATCACCCGTAGATGAATCATAGCCAAAACCCCAACATAAATGCTTGGTATCATGAATTTGAGGGTCTTGTAGTGTTTGAACCTCTCTAGTTGAGGGATTAGCTACTACAAGTTGAGAAGCAAAAGAAGAGATGCATACAAGTCCATTGGAAGAACCAAGAAGATGACAATCACGATCATTAAAGAATCTGTCATCAACATCACAAACACGCGACCCGTTGCGATCAGGGACCCTTGACATAACAATCCTCCTATCTATATCATTGTTTTTGTAATCAATTTGGGAACTATAGTTCATATGGAATTCAATGAAACCAGAGTCAGAGATCATGTTTTCCCAAGACTTACACACATTTTTGCATCGGATTAGATCCCAAACATTCAATCTTTTCAGTATATGCGGAAGGACGTTACGGTGAAGCTCTGCCATCGAAACCCTAGAGTCGGCAACCCAAAAGGAAAGAAAGGGGGGGGGACGTCATTTCAAGTATCACAACGCATGCATTATAGTAATCAAACTACAAAAAATCATTGCATTAATAAGTATAAGTTTTACATAAGTGTTTAAACATTGCATATTCAAACATCAGAGTAGATATGGTAAAGACAAAAGACACAACATGGTACTAGGCTGTCTTCTCAAAAGCTCCGGGAGTGTACCTGTCTACTGGATTCCTGAGAATACAAGTTATTTTGAAAGAGTAGATCAGCATTTAAGCTGGTGAGTTCATAAGTATTTTAGATATATAAAGTATACTCTAAGTTCTTGGAAAAGTTCACCGGTTCCTCTAGAAAATCCTATATTTTCTGATCTGATAGAATGATAACCACAATAGTTCCCTCTGCAATTACTTAGTTTATACTAATTATATATAACCTAATATCGAACGGACAATTAAATGTATGAATCTGCCCTAAGCCCACAACCAAACAAGGAATAGGAAGTAAGGCGGAAGTCACACATTCCACTGTCAATCAGATATTACTTATATATAACTCTATTATATAAACTAAGGAGTTATAGAATTAACCATTAAAGGTCCTTTATGTTATACCAGTTTTGAGAAAGTGACTGATTACGTTCCAGAAAATCCTATATTTTCTGCTTTACAACTGATAAGTAGTTTTAATCCCATAAAACTGTTCTATTTAAGTATTACTGTACTTATAATAAAGTTTAACATAATTTTAACTATCCATAAAATTATAAGAAGGATATTTTCCTTTTTGTTGGTGAAAAGTGGTTTTAAATCCCCATAAAACCGTTCCGTTAAGTAGTTTTAAATCCCATAAAACCGTTCCGTTAAGTAGTTTTAAATCCCATAAAACGTTCCGTTTATACAGTAGTATATCTTAAAGACAAACTACTAATGAATAACTACCCAAATATCAAACTGGTTAATTAGGGTTAAAATGTGATAAAGTTGTAACCATGCTGGACTAGAATGAACACGACGACCTACTAGCGTCGAAACTGAATATGTGACATTTGTCACCCTATGGCTGGTCTGCCGGACTGTAGCTAACAGTCGGGATGTGGGACTGTCAATCCCATATAGATCTATACACACAATGTCCGCTCTCCCTCCAGGAGACTCTGGTTACAAGAATGTAACATAGCAAGTATATTGCTATGTACTGAAGACGTACCATCACATTTTAGTTTCAATAAAGATCGAATTATAACCTTTTCTTGACAAAGTAGTTTCCACCTCGTATACTTATCTAGAAAATAGATTTCTCGTTTGTTTCATAAATTATACATATTATAATTTATTTGTTCTATCTGATTAGCATGATTTCTCATGAGTGTACCCCTTTGCTTAGCATGATACAAAGGTATTGATACCGACTGAAGTAACCTTTTATATTTCCATATGTATAATGTATATAATTTAGAAAGAAACGGCTTTCGGACAAATAACCCCACCTTAAGCCCACATCCAAACAAGGAAAAGGAAATAAGGCAACTCATTAGTCCTAAGCCCTTTAAGTCTTATTTATATACTTATACATATATGAACATGATTTTGACAATTATAAGTTAAAAGAGTTACTAATACATTTTAAAGAGTTTAACGGTATCTTAAAAGAGTTTATGTGATTTTGAAAAGAGATCACATGACTTTAAGTCATTATGGAAGTATTAGGAAATCCTTTATTGTAAGAATAATAATTCAAAGCATAAGGAAATCTTTTATGTAATTGATATCACATGTATTTACTAACACAATTAGATCGTGTTCAACTTGTATTCCCCCCCTTAAAAAGCATTTAAAATCATTTAAAAAGTAGATTATAGGGTATGAACTCACCTGATGTTGGTGATTCGATTGAAAATATGATATAAGATGATTGGCATGCCAAGTGAAGTCTCGAGCACAAATGGATCCTATTTGGCATATATTGACATATATAGGCATACAATTAGTGTATATAACTACTAACATGTAAGGGAAACAACTCTAGGAAGTAGGAAACACTTTCAATGAAGTGTTAGAATTGAAAATGGGAGGTTGAATGATGATCACGACCAAAGAAGGAGGGTTCACGGCCCTTGGGTTGTTCACGGCCCAAGAACATGAAGAACACTTGAAGTGTTCTTCAACGTTTAATTTATAGTTTGTAGATGAATTTAGACTATAATTTTGTTGATTTTGGTATTATATTGAATGAGTTACAGTCTTTCAAAGTTGGGCTATCAAAGGTGAAAATTTTCAGCTTTTCAGCAAGATTTTTAAAATTTTGTAATCTGTGAATTTTTTTAAACAACCATAACTCATTTGTTTTAAGTCGGATTGACCTGCGGTTTTTTCCAAAATTTAGTTTACAGTTTGTAGATGAATTTAGACTATAATTTTGTTGATTTTGGTATTATATTCAGTGAGTTTCAACCCTTCAAAGTTGAGCTATCAAAGCTGAAATATTTCAGCTTTTTAACTATTATTTTAGACTATAATTCTGAATTTTATGTATCTTTGACAGATAAATTATATGAAAAGGATCTTGGTGAACTTGATTTATATGTTAGTTTTTTATTTGCAAAATTAATTTTGCAAGTTCTAATATTATAACATCAAGGTAAATTAGTTATGCATGAAACAGAAACGTAATCATTTTTACAAGTTGTATCGTATCAAACCCAACAACATATTCGTTTTAACGAGTTCTATCAAATCTAAAATCTTATTTTAACGACTTGTACTCTATGCAATTAAAGTTGTACCGGTCCAAAAGGGTCCAAGAACCAGAATACCCGGACACGGACACGGACACGAACACGGACACGACTCATCCGGTCCGGTCCGGTTCGGTCCAAATGTTCACCCCTACAATAAACAACGTACTAAAATAGTGAAGATACCATCAGAAACTTATCAAACAATTAAACATTGCCATCCATTTAAAAATGAAACAAATACATGAGAAACATAATACACCCTTGGCATATGGTATACTAAGGACGGAATACCAATCATGAAATACATTTATAGAGAATCAGGAGTATTCAACGTCCTAAATATTCAAGTATAAGTAGTTAGCTTCCTTAGTAACTAATAAAAAGAAAGTTATTTGACATGACTAAAGCATATTCTTAACACTCCTCCATGGCTTTCGTGAGGAAATGCAAAACCCTATTGTAGTGAACATCACCTTTTATGAATCTGACAGCCATGTAATTATACTCTCTGATGCAGGGGCATAAGCGGTCTCTATTCAATTTTGCATCACAAATTCTCCTTCTTATTCGATGGGTTCTGCACGATAATAAAAAAGGATATCACAAGGACTTGGGTGGTTCTGGTTTAAAAAGATAAAGAAAACAAGGAGCTCCAGTTTGATGGGATGATAAGATTACGAGCATACACATTCTTTGCTAGATTAAAATAATTCGTTTGCCGGGAGTCGAACCCGGGTCTATTGCTTGGAAGGCAATAATCCTAACCGTTGGACTACAAACGCTTGATACGCATTTTTGCAAAGCAACAATATTACAAATAGCTCTACTCCTAATTTAAAAAAAAACACCGGATCTCATATTCTAAGAGCTTTTCTAAGTCAGTTCAGTTTAATATATTTTAAACGGCTACGTAGCATTGAGTTCCACACCATAATAGTTATTTTTATTTTTATTTTTCAAACTTGAAATAATATAATTTTATATGTATATAGTTTTTTCAACCTGAAAATGTGTAATTTGTATTCAGTTCAGGGTTCAGTTTGAGACTAAACCTGTTCCAAAACACCAAAACGCATTAAGATTGGTCTGTTTTTTGGTTACATTCCATATTCTATTCTAAAAGGGTTTTGTATGGTTGAAGTTGGAGGTGTAATGTCATCAAGCACTTAAGGTAATAGGTATTTACCCATATATCTAAAAGGTATTTAATTAGGTTATGCTCAATAAGAGTTAGGGAACATGCAATGTGTACACTCATATAAACTAGTATGATCGTGGACACAACGAATGGTAGGGTGTTGGGGTCGTGAAGGCCTCCAAAGACAGATCCTTAAGATACCTTTAAAGTCTAGGTCCTGAAGGCGTAGGTATTTAAGCCCTGAAAGACGTGTAGATTTTGAAGCCTAGGTCATGAAACATTGATGCCAAAAGTGTAGGTAGTGAAGGCTGCTACTGATGGCTTTAAGGCAAGCTGCCAATATCCAAAACTGCTGATCCACTTTAATGAAATTTTGGGCATACATACATGATTTGATCAGTAAGTCTAGGGTCTAACTCTTGCATTCTAAAACAAACTAGCCATACTCTTGTTTAGTGCTCGACTTCCTGTTTTGCAGCCAAACTTGAAGTTGTTTTTTGAGTGAATAATTCCCAAGTAGATTTTGCCA